GAATGAGGAATTGTTCCTTGGGAGGGTGGGCAGGCCCTGCAATGGATTTCCCACAGAAGCTGTGGCTGCCCCTGGATCCCTGGAAGTGCCCAAGGCCAGGCTGGAGCAGCCTGGGACAGTGGAAGGTGTCCCTGCCCCTGGGTGGAACTGGATGGGCTTTAAGGTCCCTCCTAGCCCAAACCATTCTCTGGTATCCATGAAGATTAAATATGAAGAAAGCCAGAAAATATTTGTTATTTTAAGATCATTCCCACACAAAGTTTTTAGATTGGTAGAAGAGCAACTCCTAATGGATTCTATATCTGGCTGTTATTCTGGGGTAGCTGTGGATCTTAAAATATTTCACGGGGGACTTGGAGGGTATATTTTAATTTCACATGCTGGTTTTAAAAGCAGATTTAGCCTTAGGAGTGGGACCGTAGCCTCTGCTTTCACAATTTATTTGTGAATACCCCCAGGTTCATCAGAGGGAGTTGGTGCACAGGGCCAGGGAGGGCTGGTTTGATAAGAGCTGGGGTTTCCGGGGTGAAGGGCTCACACTGCGTCACTCGGTGCCTTTGGGGACACTCCTGAGTTTCTAAGAAGGGTTGGTTGGACCAGGCTCTCTTCCTGCTGTGGGCCAGGACAGCGACTCTTCTTGCCCGGCCCGTGTGATTCCGTGAAGTGACGGGATGGGAAATGCTGGGATGGGAAATGATGGGACCGTGGTGTCTGTGACGTCCCTCCTGCCCCGGCAAAGGCAGCCCAGCTCAGCAGCAGCTTCAGAAATGACTGCCCGCTGACCACGGAGGAGCTGCAGGGCACGCACCCAGCAGGCATCCTTTCACCAGGCTGCTTGCTTGAGAAAACGAGTGAAAAAGAAAAGATTGGGATGAGTCAAAAGGCAAAACCACCGAGATCTGCGTAGGGATGCAGGTGTGACATCTCGCTGAGAGCTAAGGCCAGAGGGAGCTGTGGGCAGGCTGGCCAGAGTCAGGAAAAATCAAATTCTGAAAGAAAATGTGAATGATGCTCTTTAGAATCCGCTTCTGCCCCGGAACAGCAGCAGAACTCCGAGTTTTCCCCTTAAAATGACCCTTAGCAAGAGCTCTTTGCTCTCACTTCATTGTGTCTTTGTCATTGAAATGACTGGAGGTGTCTTTAGTGGCCATTTTCCGATTACCGAGTTTAAATCGTGAATCCCCTCAATGGTTTCGGTGCAAAGGCTTAGGCAAGTGACAGTGCTGGTGTTTCACACGAGTAAACCATGGAGGGATCCCTGCTGCTCCCAGGATTCCTTCGGGAAACCTCCCCAGTGAAGCAGGGGGCAGAAACTGAGGGAAGGAGGGTCCTGATGCGCCCTGCTAAAAATTCCAGAGAACATCACGAATGTGTAAAATAGTCACTCTTTATTTAGCTCATCTTCTGAAACCCAGAAATAAATATAAATACTTACAGCCAAACCCTCTAAGCCCTCAAGTTTCCTAATTTGCCTCGATATCCCTAATATGTAATAGCTTTGCTTGCTTCGGGATTTTTCCCCCCCCTTTTATTACATAAAACTCAGATTACAGAGTGAAGGAATATCCTGAACATCATCTCTGGGGAATGTGAGTCCTTCATTATCAAGAGCAGATTTCTGTTCTGTGTCCTGCATTCCCTGGTGGAAGATTGGAAGTGAAGTGACAGTGGCAGCGGGTTCTGCAGACCTGGCCAAGGCTGGAAATCCCCCAAAAGGCTAAAATTAGGGTCTGGTGTCAGAGTCCCCGTGAACCTGTTCCTTCTCCTCCTCCAGGAATGCACACATGCCGTGGCTGTGCTTCCTGGGCAGGAGAGCGCAGGGCAAGAGCGGGATTTGATTTAAACATGTGCGGTTTAGTTAGGCTGAGACGGGGTTTTACCTAGTCCTAAACTTATTTTACCTGTGCTGGTTTTGTCAATCCCAGCACCTTATGCAACAAGTGGTTTGAGCCCTTCTGGGTCAGCTGATTTACAGGAAAAAATAGCTGAGAGGGAATGGGAGAAATTCCCTCCGTGTGAGTGGGAATTTCTCATGGGAGAAAGGAAAATACACTGAGCTTTGTGTGATTTTGGCTGTTTTCACCTGCTTTTGTGATTATGCAGGAATGAGAGAACTTCAATGTTTGGAGCTCTGTGAGCAGAGAAAAAAACCCATTAACTTCCAACACCACAAAGATTTAGATTCACTAAACCTTTCAAAACGTGTCAGTGCCAGGTTTAATACTGAATTACCTTTGGCAGGGTTTATTTTCTGTTTATTCTCAATCATTTAATGGAAGGTCGCTCTCCAGTGCTGCTTTATTGATGGGGTGGATGACAGAGAGGATTTGTCCTTGGGGAGAGACACCAGCACGGGGTGCAGCTCCTTTCCCTGGGGACACGGGGACACGGGGACACAGGGACACGGGGACACGAGGGACACGAGGGACACGGGGACACGGGGACACGGGGACACAGGGACACGGGGACACGAGGGACACGAGGGACACGAGGGACACGGGGACACGGCTGGAGCTCCAGCTCAGCTCCTGAGGGTGCCTGAGCAATCCTGCCCTGTGATGTCACTGGGACCCGGTGGAAACGCTGAATCCATGAGCTCTGACAGACTTATGGGGTGAGCACACGGGGTTGTGAGGAGAGGTTACATTCACAGGGAGATTTTAGGATTCCACTCGTGGAATCCTGAACTTTGACACCGGAGCTGCCCGGGAGTGTCCTGCTGGCAGGAGAGGGGCAGGAGAGCTCGGTGGGAGCAGGGGCAGCGGGTTTGGGGGGCACAGCCTGCTGGGGAGCAGTGGGGCTGCTGGGGACAAAGCCAGCAAAGCTGGGGAGCAGGAGTGGGAGTGGGAACGGGAGTGGGAATGGGAACGGGAGTGGGAGTGGGAGCAGGAGTGGGAGTGGGAACAGGAGTGGGAGTGGGAACAGGAGTGGGAGTGGGAGCAGGAGTGGGGAATGGGAACAGGAGTGGGAGTGGGAACAGGAGTGGGAGTGGGAGCAGGAGTGGGAATGGGAACAGGAGTGGGAGTGGGAGCAGGAGTGGGGATGGGAACAGGAGTGGGGAATGGGAGCAGGAGTGGGAGTGGGAACAGGAGTGGGGAATGGGAGCAGGAGTGGGAGTGGGAACAGGAGTGGGAGTGGGAGCAGGAGTGGGAGTGGGAGCAGGAGTGGGAATGGGAACAGGAGTGGGAATGGGAACGGGAGTGGGAGTGGGAGCAGGAGTGGGAGTGGGACCAGGAGTGGGAATGGGACCAGGAGTGGGGATGGGAGCAGGAGTGGGGATGGGATCATGAGTGGGGATGGGAACAGGAGTGGGGATGGGAACAGGAGTGGGAATGGGATCATGAGTGGGAATGGGATCATGAGTGGGGATGGGAGCAGGAGTGGGAATGGGAGCAGGAGTGGGGAATGGGAACAGGAGTGGGAGTGGGAGCAGGAGTAGGAGTGGGAACAGGAGTGGGAATGGGATCATGAGTGGGAATGGGAGCAGGAGTGGGGAATGGGAACAGGAGTGGGAGTGGGAGCAGGAGTAGGAGTGGGAACAGGAGTGGGAATGGGAGCAGGAGTGGGAATGGGAGCAGGAGTGGGAATAGGAACAGGCAGGGCTGGGGAGCCGAGCTGGGGGGACTGGGCCTTGGTGGGGTTAAGGAGCAGGGCTGGAGGGGTTGGGCAGCAGAGCTGGTGGATGTGGGGAGCAGAACTGCTGGGGAGCGGGAATGAACTCTTGGAGAACAGGACTGATGGGGTTCAGGGCTGTCGGGGTTCAGGGCCATTGGGGTTCAGGACTGTCGGGGTTCAGGGCTGCCGGGGCTCAGGGCTGTCATTGTTCAGGACTGTCGGGGTTCAGGACTGTCAGGGCTCAGGGCTGATGGGGTTCAGAGCTGTCGGGGCTCAGGGCTGTCATTGTTCAGAGCTGTCAGGGCTCAGGGCTGTCGGGGCTCAGGGCTGTCAGGGCTCAGGGCTGTCATTGTTCAGGGCTGATGGGGTTCAGGGCAGTCAGGGCTCAGGGCTGTCAGGGTTCAGGGCTGATGGGGTTCAGGACTGTCGGGGTTCAGAGCTGTCAGGGCTCAGGGCTGTCGGGGTTCAGGGCTGATGGGGTTCAGGACTGTCGGGGTTCAGAGCTGTCGGGGCTCAGGGCTGTCGGGGTTCAGGACTGTCATTGTTCAGGGCTGTCAGGGCTCAGGGCTGTCAGGGCTCAGGGCTGTCGAGGCTCAGGGCTGTCATTGTTCAGAGCTGTCGGGGCTCAGGGCTGTCGGGGTTCAGGGCTGTCGGGGCTCAGGGCTGTCAGGGCTCAGGGCTGTTATTGTTCAGGGCTGTCAGGGTTCAGAGCTGTCAGGGCTCAGGGCTGTCGGGGCTCAGGGCTGTCAGGGCTCAGGGCTGTTATTGTTCAGGGCTGTCAGGGTTCAGAGCTGTCAGGGCTCAGGGCTGTCGGGGTTCAGGACTGTCAGGGCTCAGGACTGTCGGGGTTCAGGACTGTCAGGGCTCAGGACTGTCGGGGTTCAGGGCTGTCGGGGCTCAGGGCTGTCATTGTTCAGGGCTGATGGGGTTCAGGGCTGTCGGGGTTCAGAGCTGTCGGGGTTCAGGACTGTCGGGGTTCAGGACTGTCGGGGCTCAGGGCTGTCATTGTTCAGAGCTGTCGGGGTTCAGAGCTGTCAGGGCTCAGGGCTGCCGGGGCTCAGGGCTCTCGGGGAGCAGGAGCAGCATCCCGCGAGCGGCGCCGGAGCCCGATGCCCGCACAGGCGGGGCGGGGGCCGCGATGACGCTCCCCGAGCCGCGGCCCTGCCCCGCCCGGGGGGCGCTCGGTTCCCCGAGCGGCGGGGCCGGGCCGGGCCGGGCCGGGGCGGGCCGGGGCGGGCCGGGGCGGGCGGGGACTCGGCGGCGGCGGCCGGGGCAGCGCAGCGGCGGCCGCGTGATGAGGGAGCGGAGCGGCTCCTCCGGCGGCCCCGCCATGGACCGGCGGCCGCAGCGCCAGCCCGACTACGTGTCCGTGTGCCTCTTCGCAGAGGAGCCCTACCAGAAGCTGGCCATGGAGACGCTGGAGGAGCTCGACTGGTGCCTGGATCAGCTGGAGACCATCCAAACCTACCGCTCCGTCAGCGAGATGGCATCCAACAAGGTGAGCCACGTGCGGCGCCGGGATGCGGAGCGGGGATGCGGGACGGGGATGCGGGACACGGATGCGGGACGGGGATGCGGGACGGGGATGCGGGACGGGATGCGGAGAGGCGCGGGACGCTGAGCCCGGTCCCGGCCCGTCCTCACGTCTGTCCGGGACAGCAGCTCCGAGCTCGGTGCGGGGACGGGGCTGCGCCTTTCCCCGCCGAGACGCGTCCGGGGAGAACTCGCGGCGGGTGGCGTGGGGAGCGATCCGGGATGGAGCCGGGGAGCGACGCGGGATGGATCGTGGGGAGAGATCCGGGATATCGCGGAGAGCCCCATCGCTGCCGCAGGCTCATTTCCGAAAAGTAAAGAGGTTTCAATTAGCGCCGGTCCCTTGGAGCCGATATGAGCAGGAACGCTCTGCAAACGCCCGCATTTAGCAAATCACCACGCCAGAAGTCAATTAACTTCATTGCTTAATAATAATAACGGCGAACTGTAAACATTGTGGGGCCGGTATTTTACGGCTGTTTTGGCTTTCGGTGACGTTTTAATCTGATTTTTAATGCGTTGGGCTGGCGCTGCTTGGCGGCACATGGTGAGGGTGGGCAGGCAGGGATGGGGACGGGGAATCAGCTCCGGGGGCTGCTGCTCTGCGGAGCTTCCCTGGGAGCCAAAAGGGAACTTGGGAGTTTCTCCGCACAGAATAAAGTGCTGAAGTAAAGCAAGAAAAGCCCGTGCTGTTTAAAGTCAGGGAAGCAGGGGGAGAGCAGAGTGCCTGGAGTACCCTGACAGGCAGCAGAGAGAGAAACGCGAGTTCTGAGCAACTTTTGGGAGCTGCTGCTCCAGCCCGCCTGAGCCCAGCTCGGCTCCAGCATCTCCCCCCGGCCCTGCGGCTGCACGGAGCCGGGCACGGAGCCGGGCACGGAGCCGGGCACGGAGCCGGGCACAGCCCCGGGCACAGCCCCGGGCACAGCCCCGGGCCGGCCTGGCAGCTCCCAGCCCGCTCCTGCCCCTTCCAGCCCCGCCGTGCCCACTGGAGGTGTCACAGTCACAAATTGCCAACCCAGTGCCCGTCGCATCCACGTCCTTGCCCAGTTGTGATGGTTTGAAACCCAGCTCTGCACCACCCCGATGTTGTTTGGGTTTGGGTTTTTTTCCTGATTGGAAATGACTGCAGTCAGAAATGCTGAATCAGAAACTGAATTTATGGGAAAAAGTTGAGCAAAGAAATCTCGTGTTGTTTTCAGCTTCCTCTTCTGCTAGTGATCACCACGATGTGCAGGGGCAAAGGAAGCAGTAAAAGTTTTATAGACCGAGCTTTTAAGAAAGAAATATTATTTTATTCGTTTGAGTTTGTGTTGAGGGAACCCTGGATGAAAGTTGAGGAGGGTTCAGGCTGCACCTCCAGTGTGAACACGGCGCCCTTCAATTTGAGGTTACTTTTTTTTTTTTTTTTTTTTTTTGTGTTTTTTTTTTTTTTTTTTTTTTTTTTCCTGAGTGACAAATCTGGCCTCGTGAAGGTGAAACTAAATTGCTTTTGTAGCACTTTAAAGTTGCGATTACTCGGGTGCAGATGGCTTGCAGCTGGCTCGAGAAAGACTTCCTGAAACTTTGTTCTTTCATAACCCGTTTCTGAAATGTCTGCGCTTTTTTGGTCAACTTCCAGTTTCACACTTTTCAGCTGTGAAAAAGAAGCATAAAATGGCCTCACACCTCGCTCGCCTTTGCTGTGGAGCCGTAAATATTGTCACAAATCACGGTTCGCGTTGGAAAGTTTGCTTTCAATGCTTGATGATTTGGGGCATTCGTGGCTTTTTGGGGCTTTGGTGGCAGACAGCGTGAGGAGTCCGGCAGTGCTGGGTCGCTCCCACATCTTCGGGAGGAGCTGCGGCCGCCCCGCTCCGGGGCATCTCCATTTGTCACCGCTGAACAGCAGAGCCGGCAGATGTTTTGAAAACAGGATGCTTGGGCTGCGCGTTATTAAAGAAAAAAAAAAAACCAAAAACGGAAAGAGAAACAGTCTAGATAGGAAGAAAGCAAATCGGCTCGGCATGCTCCCAAGCGCAGCAGCAGAATAAACACTGACCTATCTTCCTGACCTCCGCTCTCGCCGGTTCCTGGCCCCGCGCCACCCCAGCCAAACTACGTCATTTGAGCCCGATAGTAGGCATGGCACAGCTGTTGCAAGTGTGACTCGAATTTCCTGTCTCCTTCCTGACAGACGTAGTTTAGAAAACCCAGAGTTGCAACAACAGCGCCGAGAGAGGCAGGGAGGGAGGCTCTCGGCATCCGTGCGCGCTGCGGCAAAAAAAAAAAAAAGACAAAAAACCAAAAAAGGAGGGGAAGAGCCATGCGGGACGGAGCCGAGCTTTGAGCTGATGGGGTTCGGAAGGCAGCGCTCCAAACATGTGCGTATTCCTCGCGAAGGAGGGAGGTAACGCCAGGAGGAGCGCGGGATGGACGAGCGGCTCGGGCGCGGGGCTGCGCCGGCGCCGGAGCGCGGCGAGCCCGCGGTGCCACCCGCAGGGACCCGCGGAAAGCCGGCACACAGCTTTTGCTCTGCTCCCTCTGGCGCTGGCACCCAGTCCTCATGCGTTTCCAGCAGCCCGGGCTCTCTGCAGAACTAACCCTGCACAGCGCTCTTACCTTTCTAACTTAGCGGGGATAAAAATGGTTTGCAAAAATACCTGTTTGCAGCTGCCATGAAGGGAGTTTATTTTCCTGACGCTGAACTTCCTAACTTCTTTCGGTGGGAGTTGATAGGGCCCTGCAGCTTTGCGCTGAAACAAAATAACCTGGAAGGGGTTTTGTGCTGCTCGAGAAACCCAGCCACCCTTATTGACATTATTCCTACATGTATACTAATTTTCTCCTGCGTTTATCACCATGTCCAGCTTCCAGCTCAGGCAGCTGCTGTGTCAGAAGGGTTTGTGAGTCAGTGATGACAAAAAAGGGGCTGTTTTCTGTTCTGGCATCAGGCAGCTGTCCTTAGCCTCACTTTGCTGCAGATGGGAGCTGCTCTAGTCCCTAATTTGGGATCTGGGACAGGACGTGCTCAGCGCATCCCCTGGATCATCAGAAGGAGCAGGTCTTTTTCCCAGCTGAAATGCTGGCCTTGCCAGCTCCGGGTTTTTACGGGGCCATCACCATGAAGTGGAGGGATGGATTGTTCCTGCAGAGCCGCCTGTCCGTGCGGGATGCAGCCCAAACGGAGATACCTGAGCTGCGCCTCTGCTCTCCTTAAATTAGACCTTGTTCCGAGCTTTCTGCAGCCCATCGAGTCCCGAGAACAGAGTTTCTGCTCTCTGGGGATATTCGAAGTTTAAATAGACAGAGTGTGAGTGGTGTCCTCTCATGACTTTGCAAACTCCCTTGCCTCTACCCAAACTGTTACTCGGAGTCTCCCTTGCAGATGCTTAAATGTCTCTTACTGCAACTCTTCAAGATGTTTCTGCTGTTCCCAAGCGCTGGATAACTCAAGCCTTGTCCAGCTAGCGGCCGGGACAGCGGCGCAGCAGCTGCGTGCTCCTCTCCCGCTTGTGAGCCGCGAGATCGACACAGCCGAGCTCGTTTTTGCCGGGATTTCAAAGGGCGTTTCGGTCAGAAAAGCGCAGCGAGGCCGCACCTCGCTTTCGGGAGAGGCTGGCTCCATCAACGCCTGGCCACCAGCGTGAACTGGAGGCCGCGGCCAAGTGGCAGCGGTGGATGTGGCCCGGCGTGTCCCTTCCTCCTCCGGGATGTCCCCTCGGGTCCCCCCGGTTCTGCGCCGGGGCTTCTTTGCTGGATCGCCGCACGGAGAGCTTTGTCTGCTGCGGCGGCCGGCGGGACACAGGCACGTCCCGCCTGCTGCTTTTCCAAGGCGGGATGAATCGCTGAGCCCCGCGCGGTGCTCCCGGGGCTCCCGGTGCTCCCGGGGCTCCCGGGGCTCCCGGTGTTCCCGGTGTTCCCGGGGCTCCCGGGGCTCCCGGTGTTCCCGGTGTTCCCGGGGCTCCCGGTGCTCTCTGTGTTCCCGGTGTTCCCGGTGTTCCCGGGGCTCCCGGTGCTCCCGGGGTTCCCGGGGCTCCCGGTGTTCCCGGGGCTCCCGGTGTTCCCGGGGCTCCCGGGGCTCCCGGTGCTCTCTGTGCTCCCGGTGTTGCTCCGGGTGTTCCCGGTGCTCCCGGTGTTCCCGGTGTTGCTCCGGGTGTTCCCGGTGCTCCCGGTACTCTCCCGGTGTTCCCGGTGTTGCTCCCGGTGTTGCTCCCGGTGTTGCTCCCGGTGATGCTCCCCGTGTTCCCGGTGTTGCTACTGGTGTTGCTCCCGGTGTTCCCGGTGTTGTTCCCGGTGTTGCTCCCGGTGTTCCCGGTGTTGCTCCCGGTGATGCTCCCAGTGCTCCCGGTGCTCCCGGTGATGCTCCTGGGGCTCCCGGTGTTCCCGGTGCTCTCTGTGCTCCCGGTGTTGCTTCCGGTGCTCCCGGTGTTGCTCCCGGTGCTCCCGGTGTTTCCGGTGTTGCTCCCGGTGTTGCTCCCGGTGCTCCCGGTGTTGTTCCCGGTGATGCTCCCGGTGCTCCCGGTGATGCTCCCGGTGCTCCCGGTGCTCCCGGTGTTGCTCCCGGTGCTCCCGGTGCTCCCGGTGTTTCCGGTGTTGCTCCCGGTGATGCCCCCGGTGCTCCCGGTGTTGCTCCCGGTGATGCTCCCGGTGCTCCCGGTGATGCTCCAGGTGCTCCCGGTGTTCCCGGTGTTGTTCCCGGTGCTCCCGGTGCTCCCGGTGTTCCCGGTGTTGCTCCCGGTGATGCTCCCGGTGCTCCCGGTGCTCCCGGTGCTGGCGGGGCCGCTCCCGCAGCGCCCCGCGCTCCCCGCACTTGCACGCGTCTCTTTAACCCTTCCCCGGCCGTGCTGCCCCGCAGCGCCCCGGGAGGCCGGAGCCGTTCCCGGCTGGTCCCCGCAGCCCCGGCGCTGCCCGGCGCCTTTGGGGATGTCCCTGCGCCGGAGGACGGCGCGTTCCTGCTCCTCCGGCCGGGTCCGCAGCACGGGCGAG